TGAAGTGATGTGGGCTTGAAGTAGATCATATAATGAAAAATATAACGTTAGAATCGTTTGAAAGCATTTAAATGTCATATTTTAAAAAATATGTATATAAAATAATTCCATTACCTATTTATTATTTTATGTAACTTGAAATTAATATAAATAAATATTAAAGGTGTATAATTATTGAATAAATAATAATTGTAAACATTTAAATGAAAACTGGTTTGAATATGAACTGAAGTTAGCAAAGGGCGCCATCTTGTTTTGCAAAAGCGCCGCTAGACGGCTTGTCAATAGTTTGCAAAAAAGTTGCAAATAATAAATAATAATAATATGAAATTTGATACAAAAATGAATTCAATTTGTTAAATGAAAATGATTTATATCAGAATTATCGTTGCAAATACGATTGTAATGTTAAAAAGACAATTCAAACTTTGGTCAATTGACAGTTGCGAACGAAGAATTTGTCGTTGCTTTTTTGAACAAAAAAAAACTGTACAGGCACAGTTTTTAAATGTAAATAGATTTATTACATCAAAATTTATTGATTTTTCATCAATAATAGGTTGTGCAAATGGTTCTATCGTTTAAATCAGGCAAAAACCACCGGTTGTAGTTGTGGAATTTTTGAAAAGCAACAATTTTAAATTGCGAACAAACGTAAAAATCTCAATAAATATTGAGGAAAAGTGCAAGAATATTAAATAATATATAATAAAATTAGCATAAATCAACAATTAAGCATGCCCAAGACATTTTTACAGACATAAACACTTGTTTGCATATCTGTACCAAAGGGCGTCAGTTGTTGTGCTAATAACTGTCATAAATATTATGGCCGCCATCTTGAATTTTCCAAAAACAACAAATTTTAAATTGCAAAACAGCGCAAAAATATCAATAAATATTGTGTAAAATTGCAATAATATTAAATAATATGTAATAAATTTATAACAAATCAACAATTAAGCACGCCTAAGACATTTTTACAGATGTAAACACAGTTTACATATCTGTACCAAACGGCGTCAGTTGTTGTGTTAATAACTGTCAATAATATTACGGCCCCCATCTTAGATTTTCCATAATATTAAATAATATGTAATAAATTTATAATAACTCAACAATTAAACACGCCTAAGACATTTTTACAGATGCAAACATTGTTTACATATCAGTACCAAACGGCGTCAATTGTTGTGCTCATAACTGTCATAAATATTATGGCCGCCATCTTGAATTTTTCAAATGCAACAAAATTTAAATTGCAAAAAAACGTAAAAATCGCAATTGTTTTTGAGTAAAAGTGCCATAATATTGAATAACATGTAATAAATTTATAATAAATCAACAATTAAGCACGCCTAAGACATTTTTACAGATGTAAAGACTGTTTTCATATCTGTACCAAACGGCGTCAATTGTTGTGCTAATAAAACATAAAAATTGTACAAAATGATAAAAATAAAAGCTCTTACCTTTTATAAGTATATACTGCATACCGGAACACACTTAAAAAACACTACTTGGTTTCAAAATAATAATATTTACTATTCACTTTGATCACTTGCACTGCACCACTGCGCGAGATGTTTACTGTTCGAGAGCTGACGCGCTAATGAGCCGCCCGCTAATTAGCACCCCTTTATATAGGCAGGTTGGAGGGTACTCGCGTAGTCGCTCCAGCGACTGAAAGAGCCCCTGAGAGTAATCGGAACCCCGGTCTCAATTTTATTAATTATTGGGATTTAAATCAAATTTTATGAGCAAAACTTGTTAAAAAAGCTAGTTAAAACATAATTACACACAAAAATTAAGCACTATTCGCTGGGTAATTAAACATTCGTTGGGTAATTAAACATTACAACAGCCAGTAGTATGAATTCAAAGGATCAAAACAACAACATACAATTTTGAAATGAATTCGTTAAAACCGCACAATGACACTAAGTAAAATTGATTAAGAAACATTATCCCTGGTACAATTAGTTTGTGTAAAACTTTTGGAAACCGAATTTTATACATTTTTTTGCAAATTTGAGTTTATACAAATATATAACCTTAAAATTTTTGTTATTCTTTCAGTTTGAAACGTCAAAATTAAATTTCTCACCTGAAAGCTGTGAAGTTAGGTAAAAAACATCAAAGATAAATAAACTTATATGGGGAAAACATGTCGTTCGTTTGTATAAAAACTGCAAATATTTCAATAAATACATCAGGATATTATAAATACCGCTTAAAATGTATGTATTAACGGCTTAAACATTATAATAATAATATTAATATAAGCATTTGGAATATTTTTCATAAATCTTTTCAGTCAAATGTCATGTCAGTTAGAAAAAATATAAAACATATAGAAATTTATACTTTAAATTTAAAAACCTAATTTTCAATACGTGTTAAACTCTTTTTGAAGTAAAACTTCTTTAGGCGCGATATGGGTGTAAAAATTTTTAGGCGCGACACGGGTGTAAATCCGTACAAATGCAACGAAAATGCCAACGTGTAGTTGAACACTACGACGCCGTAAGCGCTGATGTCGCGAGTATCCACTCCCGTCATGTCATGCGTAAGTCGAACGCTAAACCCGCTAAACCCTATATGAACTTGCATTAATTGAATCACGTTTTTTATGTTATGTCCTCATGGAATAAGACTTTTCTTAGAGAATAAATGTGCCATGGAATATAATAAATTTATATTGAATCTCGTTGAAGACAAAATAATATCTACTGCCACGGATATTTATGTAGGTTGCCATGCGACAGATCAACAATCATACATTCGTCAGCAGTTTCAAAAAAATCGGTTATTGATACCGGGGCTTTGCCGTATGAAATAATTTTAGTTCTGAATAAATTTTACATAATAACAACTAATATTGATGTAAGTGATGGCTTAGCTAATGGTTGTGTGGGAAAATTAGTGTACATAGAACGTGGCGATAATGATGAACTTCTACGTTTATGGTTTGAATTTCCCGGTAAGATAGGTAACAAAATTAGGAAGAAAGCTTCACATCATATTCAAACTCTTAATATCAGTAGGACAGCTGTGCCGATGCTCAGGAGATCTTATTATTATTGATGTTATGTGATTATTAAAAGATGATTTTAAAAATTAAAATATGATGTTTTTTTTTATTTTTATCTTAATTGCCTACTCATACAATATTAAAAGTTTTACTTCAATCGCGTGTGATCCTTACGCGCACTCTTTTTTTTTTATAATACAACTACTTCTAGTTGATCTAGTTCTATTGGTTACTTCTCTTAAATCTGTTGATTCATTTGATAACTATACATAATAGCCCATATCTCCAATATGATTATAGGTTTCACTATCTTTACATAATTATATTAATAACAAGGATAACTACACAAAATATGTAATTAAATTATGATTGTTTAGGTTTTAATGGAGGATTTAAGAAAATATTTGGATTATTCTACTCATTCAGGCCATTATAGAGATGACATGAAAGAGCACACTTTAAAATGGATACTAAGTTCACTTAATAATCAAAATATATTCCAACAATTAAAGATAATTCTCTCATGAATTAATTGTTAAATCAGGAGACATATCATAATAGTATATTGTCTAGGTATCATAAGAGGTAATTATACTCGGTTGTTAACCTAATTAAATAATATTGCACAAAATTTCAATTGAAAAACAAACAAAAATCAAGTCGAAGCTTATTACACTCTTATATGCAATAAAATTATATGGATCCTCAAGTTCTCTATATGTGCATAATTTATGATTACCCCTCAAGTTTATTATGAATTTATCGTTAAATCAGGAAAAATATCATGATAGGTAATTATTCTTGAATGTTAAACCTAATTGAATAACGTTGCACAGAATTTCAATCGAGAAACAAACAAAAATCAAGTCGAAGCTTATTAGACTCTTATATGCAATAAAATTATATGGAGTTCTCTATATTTGCATAATATTTGATTCTCCGTTTGCAATACAACTATAGGTTTCTCTATATCTTTGCATAATTCTTAATAATGAGAATGACTACACAAAATGTATAATTAAATTATGATTGTTTAGGTGTTATTGGAGGATTTAAGAAAAGTACAATTTAAGTACATTGGATGAACTTTTGAATGAGTACCAAGATGGGTGATTAGAATGCAGAATGCTTAGATAGAATTTTATAAATCAACAGCTAATCGTGGGCCTATAGTATTTAAGTATGTTGTTTCAGACTACAAAATCAATAGTTATATAAAGTTTAATCAAAATTGATGAAAAAAATCAACATTTAATTACGAATAAACGGCCTTGCCCACACATACACACTTTTTCCAAACTTGGTCTCTTTCGAATCAGAATTACTTGAAACGTCGAGAAATGATAAAATTAGTAAATTCAATTTTTCGCGAAAACAAACTTCTCCTTAGGAAAATTAATACCATAAAAATTCAAATTTTATTTGCCATGCTACATGAGATTTAAATTTATATGGTATTAACTGAAGTTTAAAAATGATAAATGAATTATCTTATTTAAAATCGCATTTCATCGGCTTGACGAGAACTAAAAGTCGGTTTTAATGAGTTTGTCAGTAAGTGAAGTGATTTTAATGGCTTGCATCCATTGTGCATAAACAGTTTTCTTATTTGAAGGCGAGAATAATATTATATCAAAAGCGTTTTACTTCGGGAAGCTCTTGCGAACGCGACGGGTGATAAATCGTCGGTTCTTTCGTCCGACATGATATTGCAGAATGTTATTAGCGTCAATCAAATGCGAGACTCAAATATTTAAGAATTATTTCCATGAGAAATATGCTTATATTTGGCTTGAAAGAATAAAATCAAATTTTTATATATATTTATGATTATAAAAAAAATACAAAACAGAACTAAATTACATCTGAGTTTCTGTTTATCACTTTTGCATTATATGCAACATCTATAAAATTACAATAATTTGTGTATAAATGTAACAAATATACATTCATAATTTCACTAACATTAGTAACAATCCATATCATTGGAACCACATTTGTCAGTGTGGCATGAAATGATATCATCTAACAAGTTCTCGAAGTCATTCCCTAATTTAACCAACCAACTTTCTTTGATTCGAATTTTCTCTTCGACTTGGAATGTCTCTAAATACTTCAAAAATTCGTAAGCTGTAACAGTACTCTTTGGGAATTTAATTTCTTTTAAATTTACTGATTTAAATGTCATTTGGTTATTATAAACATTTGTTAAAAGATTGATATCATCAAGATCAACGATAGAGTTTATAATAGATTCTGGAGTTTCCTTGTCTGATATATTATTTTCTGAAATTTCAGCATTATTGATTTCAAAATCAGGAGAATGTTGAGAATCACAATTGATTTTGTAATTTTTAACTAATGAAACTGAAAAGTTGTATTTTGTCAAAATATCTGTTAAAGTTTTTATAATTTCAGAAACTTCTTGAAGTACCTAAAAATAAAGAAATATAAGAAGACAAATTGCACAAAAAATCAACTGCTACAATATACAATGATTTTTGTTTGGAACCTTTAGGCTTCAAATCATAAAACTGTTTTCTTTCTTCATGAAAAGCATTACCTTTAGCTCACTATTTTCGTTAAGACAACTGAGAAAAACGTCAAAACATCCCTTTTCTGATAACGAATTCAGAACCAATATCAAACGCGCTTTAATTTCTGCATCATCTAAATTAACAATTTTGTGGCTCTCTCTTGAGAATGTAACTTGTGGAAATGATCCATCAATCATTCCTTGATTATGAAATTCTCTATAAATCAAATCACATAAATTGTTATATCTAATTTGAGACAAATTTTAATAGTTAGTAATAATACTTTTGTATTACTGCTTTCCAGAAGGATAGTGCACTAACTTGTACATCCCAATGCACATCGTGTACTGATACATATTTCATGACATTAAAAATGTCTTGGGGTACCACATTTAATCTTGATAAAAGTTGCTCCAATACTGCCATTGCTTCTTGCCGAACAATAGGTTCAGCATCATCCATTATCACCTGTATTAACTTTTTCTGTAAAAAAGCAGCATGATTCAAAAGTGAACAATTTCTTCCTAGCTACATTGATTGTTACTGCTTTGGTGTGTGTTGTTTCTGAATATACTTCGATATAGATGATTTTTTAAATAAAATTTAAACATTTTCTGGTCAAAAATTTCATATTTGAAAAATGTGCTATTCTACATAACTGCAACAGTTGTTACTACTTTGATGATCTGATGACTGTAGATGTTTTTAGATGTAGATGATTATTTATATAAAATTCAAACTTTTTCAGGAAAAATGTTTGGATGGTTAAAAAATGTAAAATTTCTACATATCTGTAATGTGTTTTTACTACTTTGATGATCATGGACATTCTTGGATATAATTAATTAAATAAAATTCATAATTGAAGTTAATACTTCAATCACATATTATCTGCATGCACTGTAGTTTATTTGAGTTTCTTCAATTGTTTAACTTTATAAAAATATTCATTTCATAACCACTTAAATCACTTCACCATATTTATTCCGAATTAAGTGTATGTTATAAATAAAAAAATACGTAGCATAATGCTGATGATAAAGCTGATTGACGTTAACAAAATAAATAAGAGAAAGCCATCTATTGTACGAATAGCATATAGTTTATATGCATAATAAAATGAATAATAAAATTCATTAAACAAGATTTAAATAATGTTATATGGCAAATAATAAAAAATAAACTTACCTGTAAATCTTGCTGTTGTAGGCATTCTGTCCAAAATAGATTCACCCTTAACATAATTTTAACACATTTCCAAGCACTGGCCCTTACATAAGGTTCAATATCAGACTGCGCAACAATGCATGATAAATTAACCAAGTTCGATGATAATAAATGATTTTGAAATATTGGAAATTCTGGAAAACAATTTAAAACAAATATTTTAGTACAATAATTTTTTGGAAATATATTGGTAAGTATTTGCGTTATTCATAATTACAAAAAAAAAAAATAATGAAATGAAAAGCAAACTTACTACATTTTGCCATTTCTGCAACACTTTGAAGCAATTCTAAAGCACTGTCTCTAACTTCCCATTGAGGGTCATGTAACTTCTTAGCAATTGTAGGACCTAATTCTTCAAGTCCTGAGCATTCCATTTTATTTAATAACAAAGCTAATGTTGGTGCCATATATTTTTCAATTCCCAACTGAGTCAACTGCAGAGCTTGAATTTGATGCTAAAAGAATTTTCGTTTAGTATCAAGAATTCTGTATCAAGAATTTATAAAAATATAATCATAATCAAGTTAAAACTTACTTTAGATGTTAGATTCACATTGGCCAAAAGAGCTAAGCAGAATTTATGAATTGCAGTACTTTCAATAGATTCAAACCAAGAAATTTTAAAATCTTTAATCAAAGTACATAATGCGGTCAAAATAGTACCCAATAGATGTGGTGCCCGAGCAATTATTTCACTTGCAATATAATTTTCCGGTACTGGAAAAATTGAAGCTTCAGGCGCAAAGTCCTTTAATATGTAAACTAAAGCCTGAAAGAAAATGCACATATAATTTTCACTTTCAAAGCTGAAACATGCTCTTTATTTCAGCCATAGGATATGTCACCTGAAAAATTATAATAACTCTCTCTTGAGCTAGCAAACTCTTGGTCGATAATAAGGATAAAATAGCTTGGTGTGCAACATCATATAATGCCAAATGTCCTTTTAGTGAATCACGAAAAGCGTATATAAGTCTAAAACAAATATATATATATACATATATATATATATATATATATATATATATATATATATGTATATTTATATATACATACATAACAATAAAATAAAAATATAAGTACCTAGTTGTGTGTTCACCGGCAATGTTGAATAATTTTACAATAAACTCTTCAAAAAATATGTGAGAATCATAATTAGATGATTTGATTGCTAACAATATAGGAGTTATTTGTAGAAGATTTATTTGGGTTTCTAGTTCTCCACTTTTTTCACATTTTGTCAATAGTAATTCCTGCAAATATTAACAAGTACAATGTTTTAAACAAATCTTACATATGGCTGTATAATTTCCAACTCTCTTACCTTTTCTGTGCAGTTCTTTTTAATATAACTCAAAAACAAGTGATACAATTCACAAATTTGCAAAACTCTGAGTGGCAATCGCTTTGTGACTATAATGATATTTATTATATTATATGAATTGGCATAGAAGTCATGTAAGTCATCTTTAGAGATTTCATTATGACCAGGTTCAGTTCCAAATCTTAATTTACAGAAAATTACAAGGACTATCATTCTTATAACTACTTTTAATAAAACTTCATCAAAGGTAACGCTTAAGAGATTCCAATAATGCCATTCTAATTTGTATTCAGTAAATATATATCTAATAACTTCATCCATTTCATTATGTTTTAAAGCTTGCTCGAGAATGAAATTTAATAAATTTAATTTTGGGCATAAAGTTTTATACAAATGTGTATTTTCAATTGGCATTACAGTCTGATCTTTATTCCAGTCTTTTTGCATAATGCTTTCCAAAGCAACTTTCAAAATATCTTTATAATTCAATAGGTCATCTGATTCTCGATATGTCAGTAACAGTAGGTTATAAATATATAAGTGTGATTCCCTAACCACATAAATGGTCTGATTTTGGTTTGAGTAATTCAAAATATCTTTCCACATTCCTGTATTGAATACAAATTTTAAACCTTCTTCGTTTTGTATCAAAGCCTTTTGAAGTAGTACATATGATAATTTTACTGGAGGACTGCGAGCTTCAAACTTGTGTGCCAAATTCACAAGTTCACTTATTAAATTATTTTCATTTAGAAATTCAAAGTATTTACGATCATGAACTATTAAGGATGCAACTTTTATGCAAAATGCAACTATACTGTGATGTGGTTGAACACTTTGCCAGTTTTGTAATGCGTTTTTGATCCATTGGCAACAAATTGGTTGTTGAAGCAGGTGCTTACCTAGATCTGAAATAATTTCGTAATACGTAATCTAACTATAAAATATTATTGTGATTTTTGTGATATTTAATGGCATGAAAATAAGCATGGCTAAGCGACAATACATAATGAAAACTTATACTGAGAATTTGCTCATTTCACATACAAATCTTAATATGCTGTTCAGATTAAAGTAACTCGATTTATTAGTATTATTTAAAAAATGAAAAACATGATCGTGGTAAAAATAAGTGTTTTTGAACACTACTTGTAAATAGAAAAGTGATACCTTCATTGAATTTTCCTGATAGATGAGAAATGATCTTTTCTAAATAAACATCATCTGAAGCTTTAAAATTTTCTTGCAGAATTATATTAAGAACTTTTTCTAATTTATTTTCATGAACTTTGAAATCAATTTCTTCCATAATGAAATATCTTGTGAAAATGTGTGAGATTGAAAGCAAACTATTACAAACTGATCATACTATCGTTATAATATAAAACATTACTATATATTATGTTTTATTTAAATCAAGTTGCAATAAATTATTATTATTCTGGGTAGATTTAAAATTATATTTTATTTTAGGTTATGCTGGTATTACACCGACTGTTTGACAGATGCACAAAACACAAGATTTATCCCCATTATATAAATGATGTGAAGTTAGCGGCATCAAAAATCAAGTTTGCATAGATAAAAGAAAAGTATCATTTTTAAATTTTTTAAATAAAATGTATTTAAAGAAACCGTCAATGGTTTTAACTTGATATTTTCAAATAATTTTAATTGTAGATGAAAACATTATTAAACATTTATGTAAATAATTATCATTTTTTTGAAAATAAACTTATTTTGTATACAAATAGTATTAAGCTAAAAATAACTCCCAACATGTTTGACATTTAAATTTCTAACAACAATGATGGCCTAGTGCTCTAGTTCAATTAAATGATACCAAATTGATAAAAATACAATTGGATTGCCTTTTAAAAACTACATCTTTATGTAGTGAAAACAAATATCGAATTATTCACAATTTACATAAAATTTAATTTGCAGAAATTCTATGTTAATGTTTTGTAAAAAAATCTTTCACGATATCATCATCCATTGTAAAGTATATAAATTATTATGTTGCCAAATTCTTCACATTAGCTTCAGTTAGCTTTTCTCATTTAATAGGTGTAACATATTAAAATTCACCAGCTGATCATGCTATAAATTTCAAACAAACTTGTAAAATAATCGATGGTGGAAATTCACCTAGGAATGATAAAATATTAGAATACAACTCATGATTGTAGCAATAAACTTGAGATTTTGTAATAATGATTTAGGTTTGAAATATCCCAAATATCTATCAATTATAGTAATCACATTAGCAGCAAGTTTTCAAAACTGCTGCAATTTCTGGATTAACAGGATGATGCTGGCTTCATTGGGTTATCGAATCCTAGACTTAATGCAAAGCTTGATAAAATGTCAAAACTATAAATGTTGAAACTATTCTGAATTGAACTTTTCTTTCTAATTATATATATATAAATATATATATATATATATATATATATATATATATATAATTGATTAAAACCACATTTAAATAGAACATTCGTTGTTTTACTTTATACTACAGATTTGAAATTACATGCTAATCTATTATATATTTATATTATATATAATCGTGTTTAGCAATAAAAAGAGAGACTACTAATTTTCACATGTTTTGATATTCATATGTCCAATTTTTACTTATTAAACTAGTTTGTCCTTGACTTCCTTTTGCATTGCGTTATTTTGTTACCTAATAATTGGACTGATTAGAAATATTTTGAATATAAAAATTTCATTTCTTCAATTCACAAACACACACATATATATGATTCTAAATTTGATGTTGACATATGTATTAACAAAGTCTAATAATCAGGCAAGCATCAAGAAAAAAAAACAATTTCTTTTTAAAATTTACTTTATATTGGCTCTAAACCTAGCCTTGATTCAGTGGAAACTAAAAATAATAAAAAAAAATTATAAAGAGCAAAAAGTACTTAAAATTAGTTAATTTTAGTGTTGAAACAGAAAATGCAGTAATCTATGTAAACACTATGTAATATAAAAAACTTGTAATTAAACAATATTTCACAATATAATAACTTAAAAAATCACAAACATATGTTTTTTTTTATGCTAAGTGCGATTTAGAGTTTATATATATATATATATATATATATATATACATGTATATATATATATATATATATACAAAATTCAAAATATTAGCAATTTAAAAAGTAATAAACATATCCTGCAATTAATTATCTACTCGTACCGAAAAAAATCTACAAGATAATTGATTCAATCGAATGGCCGTGACATCTATAGTATTTTCTATGATAATGGAGTGAATTAACATGAATGAAATCTTGTATTTAAAATTCTTAGCTGTGGTCTCAAACGGCCTATTTATTTATAGTGATGATATGAAAAATGGAAATACTTGATTTATATTTCGTGAAACAAACAATGTATCATTTAAGTATATTATTTTAAAACAAACTAGTCAGAATATATACGTATATCAGAGCAGGTCGATTTGTCTGGGCCAAAAAAGTCGCATAAGCACATATGATTTTCGGATACTATCAAACTAAGATACTTTGCAGAAGAAACCATACCTCTAAAATAATTTCTGATGTCACGTGCATTAAGCCGAACATTGAATTGGACAAAAAAATACGTTTTGACCCATTTAGAGTGCCCCAATAACGTCTAAATGTATGACCCACCCCCACTAACTTTGGAAGTCCAATTCACCCATGCCCGTGGTCACTCCCTGAAACCCCCCCCCCCTGAGAAGTCCACCGTACAAAAATTGCAACAAATACATACAGATCAAAAAGCATTCGATTCCTAATGATAAGGAGTCGTGCTGATCAGTTTTTGGCAAAAATTGGTCCAGCCGTTTCGGAGAGTGCAGGAAATAGAAATCGAGTTTTTGGGTGTTTGGAGCATTTGATTTGAATGATTCAAAAAACCTTCTATTCGTAGCGATGAGGATTAGTTTGATCAGCACGACTCTTTATCAATAGGAATCGAATGCTTTTTGAATAATTCTATTCGGTTGACCGGTACTCCCGGAAACGCCGACAAATAATTGTAAACACACACCCACTCTTTCTTAAGGGCTTTTAATATAATGTACTAAATACACCATTTAATTTAACCATGGTGTTTTTTTTTTTTTTTTTTATTTTTATATAATTATAATTTATTTCTTAAATATCTACATTATAATTTACAAAATTTTGTACATAAATGAATTATTCTTATTTTTATTTCTTATTATGTAGTCTTTCCGCTTCTCTCTTAAATTCCTTTCGATTAATGTTAATTCTTCAATTCCATTGTATATATTATTTAGAACACCAGATAATAGCCATATTATGATATTGTTTTCTTCTTCTGGTCTTTTCATAATGTCGAATTTTATTAATTTATAATCTTTCTCATTTAGATTAATTTTTAATAATTTCAGTCTATGCTTCATCCAATTCCATATCGTTTTATTTTCACCGCACTCTGTTAAGAAATGTATTGCATTTTCTTCTTTATTACATTTTGTACAATTAGCAGTATCAGCCATTTTCATTTTAAACAGCTTCATTTTCATGGCTATGCATTCATTGACTATCATATAGTTCGTGGTTCTCCAGTCAGAAGGAATATTTTTGTTTTTTAAATTCTTCCAAATATTATTCCAGTTCAAATTCGGGGTTTTCTCCATTATTCTTGGAGTATAATCATTAGTTAGTTTTATATATATTTCTTTTGTTGTAGTATTTTCTAGATTCCATTGATATTTTTCATTTATAATTACCCATTCTTTTTTAATAGATTTCGGAAAATGTTTATTATTGATCCAAAGTTCTAAAAATCCTGTGTTGATTTCCTTTGTTATGATCTGTTTTATCATATTTTTAAAGAGTAATGCTTTACATTTTTCAGCAGTTGATATTAAATTTAGACCTCCTTGGTTTTCTTTCAATTTTAATTGATTTCTATTAATTCTTATTCTATAACCATTCCAGATATAGTAACCTATTATAGTTTCAATTTTTTGTGAAAATACTTTATGCATTGGTAATACTTGCGCTAAATACCATAATTTTGCTAAGGCAAATTGATTTATATGCCAGATTTTTTGAATTATATTTAGTCGTCTTGATAAATCTGTATTTAATGTCACTCTTATATTATTAATTAATTTATTCCAGTTCTCATTAATCATTTCCTCTAAATTTTTTGATATAATCATTCCCAAATATTTAATTTTTGGGGTTTCTGGTATGTTGCTTTCTGAATCCCTTGCCCATCTCATACCTAGCGATAGAAATGTGGATTTTTGTTCATTTATTTCTGCTCCTGAACTTTTACAATAAGATTTAATGATTTCTAAGGATTTTCTTTCTTCACTATTTGATTTAACTATTAAAGTAACATCATCAGCATATGCAAGTATCTTAACATTTTTAGTTATTATATTTTGACCTTCTAATTTTTTTTCCAATTCTTCAAGTAAAGGATCTAAACCAATAACAAATAGTATCATTGACAAAGGACATCCCTGTCTGACGGATCTTTCAATTTTTATATATTCAGATAGATTCCCATTTATTTGTAGTCGTGAAGTTGCGTTTTTATTAAGATTCATTATTACTTTGGTTATTTTGTCAGGAATTGATATTTTTCTTAATACATGCAGCAAATAATCATGTGACATCATGTCAAAGGCTTTCTTAAAATCTATGTTTATCAAAGATGCTTTTTCATTATGTTTTATATTATAGTATGCCACCAAGTTTCTAACAGTTATTAAATTATCAACAATATTTCTTTTATCCATACAGCATGATTGCCCCTGGTTAATGATATTTTGAACAGCCATTTTTATTCTATTTGAAATAATTTTTGAAAATAATTTCATATCACAGTTTAAAAGCGTAATTGGTCTATAATCGTCCGTATATTTTGGATCCTTTTTTTTCGAAATTAATATTATTATTCCTTCATTAAGTTTTTTATTTATCTTTTCCGGTTCGTTTAAAAATTCGTTAAATATTTTAACTAAAAAGGGTGTTAAAATGTCTTCATATTTTTGATAAAATTCATACGGAATGCCATCTATTCCAGGTGTCCTATTTTTACTGCTTGTCTTAATCGCTTCCCTCACTTCTTCCTCCAAAATTTCTTTTCTTAGTTGTTCATTAGAAAGAATGCTTATGTTTTTATTATATTTCCTTAGTATGAGATCCATTTCCTTATAATTTATCGGTTTTTCTTTGTAGAAATTTTTGTATGATCTTTCCATTTCTACAATTATTTCTTTTGAATTTTTTAAACAAATATTTTCGTTATTAAATAACGATTTAATGAATTTGTTTTCTCCATTGATTTTTTCCTTTGCAATTTGATATGTAGTAATGCGCTCTTCTTCTGTAATTGTTTGGGTCCTTGATCTTATTTTAATTCCTTCGTTACGAGTATCATATAATTTTCTAATTGTGGCTTTTGTTTCTTTAATTATTTCCCACATTTCACCATTATTATTGTGTTTTTCAACTGCCTCCTTCAATACCTTTTCAAAAAAATTTATTGTATTATTGAAATCTATTGCATTTTGTCTGGATAAATTTTTTGCAAAGTATTTTAATTTGGTTTTTAGTTTATTTTGCCACCAATCAATTACATTCGTACGTGATGAAATTTTAACAATTTTCTCCCATTCTTGTCTAAATAAATTATCAAATTCTTCGGATTTAAGTATTTTTGTGTTCATTTTCCAGTAACTTTTTCCAAAAAATGGCACTGATGTCACAACTTTCAATTTTAGAACTACCGCATTATGGTCTGAAAAGGCTACTGGAATTACTTTGCAATCAACTATTCTATTTTTTATTAAAGTGTCAGTATAAAATCTATCTAATCTTGAAGCTGAATCACCCCTAATAAATGTAAACCCATTATCTTTCTTATTTAAATACTCCCACGCATCTTTTAATTTTAATTGGTTTAACAATCTTTTTAGTGCTGCACTATAATTTGTTCTTCCTTTTTGGTCCTTGGCATTTAATACACAATTAAAATCGCCTGCGATCATGATATTAGATTTGTTTGTTCCTATTATACTGGCTATATCTTCTTCAAATAATTTCTCCCTTTGTGGACGCTGACCATTACCGGCATGGGCATATATATTTAATAAATTTAAATCATCTATGTTAGCACCTATTATTCTAGAATTTTCATGGAGGATTACATTTTTTATTTCAATTCCTGGTCTTGTTAATATGGCAGTACCTCTTTGATTTTCATTAATGTTTACTATACCTTCATATGGTTTAAAAAATCTTAAATCGTTTTCATTTATTTCTTGTAACAATATTATATCTAAGTCATTATCTGTTATAAATTTTTTCAGTAATATTTTAGTCGTTAAACTTCTAATACCATTTATATTTATTGTGGCAATATTTCTGATTTTATAATTATTCATCAATATGTGTTCTTAAAAAGGAATTTAAGGAAAAATTTAAATTATATAGTTTTTAATTTTGTTATTTCTTTATTTATTTCAGGATTAGGTGTTTCACCATATTCTTTTCCATATTCTAGTGATCTTTCTTCTTCTGACATATCTATATCTGAATCTTGTAGAATACAATTCATTGAAGAAATTGGTGTATTTATATCCATGTTTTCAATTATATCCTTCATTACTTCCTCTGTATTTGGGGTTGTTATTTTAATTTTTTTATTACTGATAGGCGTTTTTTCTGTTTCATTTATGCTTTGTTTTCCTTTTTCTTCTTTTTGTTTTGTTTTTTTATATTCAGTCATATAATTAGAACTTTCTTTGTTTTTTATAATTATTATTTTTTCTTCTTTTTTATTATTTATTTCTTCTTCATTTTTTCTAATTTGATCATTTTTTTCCTTTTGGGTAACAACAATTTTATCTATTATGTTTTCTTCATTATTATTCACTATTGGTTTATTTTTCCCTAAATCTTTTAATCTTTCTCCTATTTTTGAGTTCATTGTACATTCTTTTTTCACGTGGCTTGTTTCTCCACATTTAAAACATTTCCTTGGTTGTCCTCTAATTATTATTGTTGTGTTTTTTCCATTCACTTTAATCATGTTTGGAATTTCTTTTGTTACTTCTATTAATAAGGTTCTATTTCCAGTGTAGCAGTTTATAATGCCTTCTCCTGTCCATATATCTTCTTGGTACTTTAATATTTTGCCGTACTCTGACATTATTTTCCTTATTTGTTCTTCCGATGTCTCCCATTGTACATTTAACAATTTTATCCACTGTGGCGGTTCCCTAGGTTCACTATATTCAATTTCATAACACTGATTTTTATCGGACTTAAATTTTATATTAGTTTCATATTTACTTTTAATTTTATTTATAATTTTCTCATTATTAAATTTCACATTTAATACCTTATTTTCCATGGATATTCCGTATATACAGCTGACATCTTCATAAATACTATTTAAAATTCCTTTTAACCACAAATGAGCAGTTAATGGCGAAATTATTCCTTCAATTACTTTGAAATTAAATAGAAGTGTGTTTTTCGGTTTAACACACTCCATTATATAGTTATTAAAATAACTGTTTTATTATAAATGTATACCAGGCAAGCCTGGATTTTTAACGTGTTTATTTTGTTACGCAATCGATGTGTTCACTTCGAATGTTTAACACAAACTGTGTTCAAAGAATGCTGACACATTAAAAAGGTCACGTGCATGAAGTATTATAATGAAAAAGAGAGCAGCTGGCATAAAATAGCTCGCGGAGGGATAAAAAAACAGGTTTCAGAGGATCATACATATAGATATATATATATATATATATATATATAATTTCCTCAAAAAAAAAAATAGATATTTAGACAATTACGATAACTTACTCTACAGGATGTTGATATACATATTTATATACGTACGGATAAGATTCTCGTTAAAAACATTCTAAGAAAAAAACTATTTGTCGATCCAAAAGAAACCACACACGCAATCATTCCTAATTAAAATACATTGTTATCTATTCAATAAAAAAATGATTCAGACCTTTTTAATAATTCATACAAATTTATTATGTATTATCGTTTGCGTGTGTACGCAGCAGTCATTTTGCAAATGAATAGCACGGATTTGCATAAACCGGTATGTTAGAAAATATATAAAAATCCAAACGGCGTATAAATATGTAAACAAAGCATCGGCTGCTGATCAGTCTATCAGTGAACGTTCTCATGATTATTATATATACATTGTCAAACTCTGTATGTACACAAAATATAAAAATAACCACATCTGATAATACGCGAGTACGACAGAGTTCGTTTTCGATTCAAAAACGAATCCAGTCTCCTGTGCAAATGGCAACTTCATACGCTTTGAGATATTACCAACAATTACATCGTGTCAACCGTTACGGAACTCTGAAACATTAATTCTTACCAAAAACGGTATTAAGGTGATAAATTCAAATTTGCCAGAAATGGATAGTTATTTCTCCGACGGGAACACCACGTCTCTGATTCTAGATTTGGTTCTAGAAAAGAGCCAGAAGGAGTTGCGAACGAATGATTTGGTTCCCTTCTGGTGGTGTGTCGAAGGATTTTGGAAGTTTATCGTAGGAGCCGGGAAATGCTTCTACTTAGTTAGTCCGAGTGATACTTCATTTAAGTCTCCTGAAGATGTACCTAATTACTTCAGGCAGGTGCGTTATAGATAATAATATTTCATTTCGGTAATCAATTTTTTAAACGAAACTTTAAATGATGTATAATAGAAATTTGTGTTAGAAATAACGCATTTATCAAATTTAAGATATTTTGACGTGATATGAGATACTGCCATAGTAAAAGGTGGGCCATAGTAGAAGCAAGCGATTTTTTGTTTAATTATAAAAAACAAACACACACGCACAGATATATATATATATATATATATATATATATATATACATGTGTGTGTGTATGTTGTAGTCTACAAAATATTTACAAATCCAAGACTACCATCTAATTGTATATATATATTGTCATGTGCGCAAGTCTAAAATACTGCCAAACAGTCTAAAAATAGTCAAATCCATCTTTTAATAAAATAGTCTATATGTTACATGTAACAAAAATAGCCTGAACCTTGGAGAAAGCTAATAAATGTTAATAAATGCTAATATATAATATATTAATTAAATTTAAACGATATGCTATGAGCTGTTCTGATACCTTTTGACTATTTAAAATATTAGTATTTTATTATCAGAAACCAAAGAATCCATTTATGTAAAATTAAACTTCATTATCATAAAAATCGTTTTGCAATTAAAGCGATAAAAAAGTATAAGTTAGAAGTAAAAATTGATCCGAAATAAATGACAATATTTTAGGTAATGCTAAATTATATTTACATTCACATTTCACAAATAACTTTTACCAAAGCTAATTTGTTAGTATCAATAAATAATGACTTATATTATCAAATAGAAGATTAGATCTTAGCTTTAACTGTTGATCAATAAAATTTATAAATCGCAATATAAAATTTATTTTTAAACAATAAAACTCGCCGTTCAAAGTAACTTTATATAATAAACAATTTTATTATCAAATAAATAAATATGTAATAAGAGATAAACGTTGTAATTCCGAGGTAAACACTGATAATAAAAGGTAGGTGATTATTATCAAGAAGTTACATATAGCCTAAACTTTTGGAAAATGCAATTAGAATAAAATATTGATTTATAACATTGAATATTCAAATGACCATACCAAGAAATTGAACTTCTAAAGCAACCCTTACATAGAAAATGTTTCAAGTGAAAATAGTCACAAAAATGAAAATTTTTATATATCTTTACGTTTCAGAGGTTTCTGAACATTTTGGCATGCCTTATAATTAGAAAAAAATGGATGTATGTGTGTGTGTGCGGAAACAAATTTTCGTCGACGATTTTGCGAACACGGATCAACCGATTTAAATCAAATAAAAAACGTTCAATTCCTGCTGATAAGTACAAATTTTGTGTACATTTATATGGGTTCCGTACTAAAAAAATTAAAATTTTCAAACAAAATCAAAATACAAAAAAATGGAAATATAGAGAAATCAATTTTTTCAAAAAAGTCAAATTTTTTAAAAAAATTCAAAATTTCTTAAAAATGTATTTTTTCAAAGATTTCAGTACGGGAAGTTCCAGCAATTTTCCTTAAGGCACGATGCGATGCACCACTATTTATATAATATAAAATAAGTTAAAGGCATAACTCTGGTGTATGCATAATCTGAAGTAAACGATATCATTATAGGTCATTTTAAATAATAATATACTATTTATTAATTAAAACAGTAGTTGCAAAAACAACAAACGATTCATAGCAATGTTGATAATTAATGTAATTGATTTACTTCGACAGGCGTGAAAAAAAGTATTAAACGATAACATTTACCATATTAATTTATTAACGTGCGCATATGTAAACAAACATCTTTGGCTTGTATTTGCATTATTACGTGTGTGTCATTGATAATTCTTACTACGCACAAACTATTATAAACTGCATATCGCAGTTTCTGCTAATGTTATTTAATAGTAAAAGTAAAATTTGTAATTGCTTATACCAGAAGTCCTTGCAAACTTATTATTATTGATTATTTTATTGAAGAGTAGCTCCAGAAGGACTTAAAAATACAACTAGTAAATGCATAAAATAGCAACTAGTAATTATTAACACTGAATTATTATACAAGAGACGTATAAAAAAATAATTAACTTAGTTAACAAGTTATAGTAATCGCAATAAAATCAAAAATGAAAATTTTTATATATCTTTACGTTTTAAAACCTTCTGAACATTTTGGCATACCTTAGAAAATATAGATGTATGTGTGTGAGTGTGCGTGTGTGTGCGTGTATGTATGTGTGTGCGGATACAAATTTTCGTCGACGATTTCGGGAACACTGATAAAGCGATTTGAATAATTCAAAAAACATTCGATTCGTATTGATAAGGAGACGTGCTGATTAGTTTTTGGCAAAGGCAGGTCTAGCCGTTTCGAAGATATAGGGCAAAAAGTGCCAAAAATGATAACTCAGTTTTCAAGAGAACGGAGCGACCGATGTAAATAATTCAAAAAACATTTTACTTGTATTAATAAGATGAACAATTGATCAAATTTTTGAAGATCAAGTAAAAAAAGTAAAAAAAAAATGCAATTTGGCGGTCAAAAATGATCATTATACATATGCACATCAAATTATAAGATATTTTATGGAGATTTTAACACTAAGTATAAATTTTGTTTACATCCCTAGGGGTTCCGTATCAATGTTTATCCGTTAGAGGGTGACGCGGCGCTTACGCGCTTCGATATTTCGTCTCTATGCAGTTAAAGCAGTACGATTGCTTTGAAAAAAAGTTCAGAATTTCCAAAATATTTCGAAATAATTTTTTTTTCGGTCTTTTTTTTCAAAAAAAAAGTAAATTTTTATCAAAAATGTATAGTTTCTCAAAAATCTAATTTTTTAAGAGTAAACTTTTTTCAAAAATGTAATCTTCTTTAAAAAAAAAATTTGGTACGGGAAGTTCCAGCAATTTGCTTTAAGGCACGATACCATGCGCCCCACTAGTTTATATATTTGGTGAATTAAGTTTAGAGCACGTTAGTATTATAGATGGAACATTGCATCAATATTTATATTTCAATTTAAAGACAAGATTGGAGAAGGCCATTTATAAAGATTATTGCCTCAATATCGACTAACGTTGGTCTGATCGATTAGTTGACTTCATCACAGAACCGACATTCGCCTATATTTATGCAATATAGGTAATCACGGCCACAGGAATCCAATGTTGGCAATAATTGGAACCGAGATTAATATCTACATGGGATATTAAATGAAAATATATCTCAAGTTTACAAAACAATTATTAACTTCCCGTGGAGTAATAGTAATTGCCAAAAAAAAATCGAAAATGAAAATTTTTGCATATCTTCACGTTTCAAAGATTTCTAAACATTTTGAAATACCTTAGAATAAATAGATGTATGTGTGTGTGTATGTATGTTTGGATACAATTTTTCGTCCACGATTTCGGGCGCATGGATCAACCGATTTAAATATTCACATTTAAACTTTTAAATATTCTCGTTGAAATATTTCATTAAATTTATACTATCGCAAAAAATACTCGTTAATTGATTTCAGTTGCTAGCATAATTCATATAAAATATCTTATTTGTAAATCTGTACAATTTATCACATCAAAGTTTGAAAATCTGTTATTTAATAATGTTTTGACTCGATGTGTATAGAACTAATTGGTAACGAACACAAAATGTAAGTATTTTGACATTGAGTATTAATTTGTGATATATTATATATATATATATATTATATATATATATATATATACGAATTTATCTTTGAGAAATATACTGAGATACGCGTATATTCTACCCAAATAAGATCTGATAGCCGCATGAAACAAAATAATAATTCCATCTAATATTTGATAATGTATTATAAAAATTTTAATTAATTAATTTCTAAAGATATATCTACGCCATAATTATTAGATATTGCTATGTAGGTCATATAACCGATCTGCTAATGCTTTTGTAAACATTCCTTGACACATTACAAGATGTTTTTAACATTAAGATTAATTATTTGCATTTTTAAATGCAATTTCATTATCAATTCTTCGAATTAGATTATTGTAGCCATGAATTTATAATATAAAAATTCCGTAATCAGTTTATAAACAATATTTTCCTACACAATATAAATCAAATGCATAATGATTGTATGAATAATTGTTTATGAAGTCTGACAGTTTCGCGATAAAATAGTAATATATTTATACACAAGCTTTCATTACTAAAAATCTTGAAAAATATAAAACAACGATCAAACAATATTGTTACTTAGTAAATACGTGGTATAGTCCGGTTTTTATGTAAAAACACAAATATTCTAAATTTTGATCCTGGCTCGTTAAGAAAATCTACTGTATAATATCTAAGGAAATTTTTTTTCATTCAAACTCACCATAATCCTGTTATATCAAAAGCTTCTCGTCCTAAATTTCTTGCTCTACCACAGAATTTAATGTTCATCTAATCCTAAACATCCTCAAAACGATTTCTTTTTACTTTGATGAGTAATATTGCAACTTTTCCTTTTAGGCATGGCCATATTTTATTTTACTGATTCTTGCTGAAAATGTAATGTTATGGTTTGAGAGACATTCTGATCACCATGATGAAAATGGTAACAAGATGATGTCCAAAAGCAAAAATAAAGATCTGAATACTGGACCTCAAGCTGCTGCACCAGCAAGACTGAATGATAGTATAACCAGCATCTCTCATGGCCTAATGCAAGAATGTGGGAGGTATTCTAAATTACAAAAATATTACATATGAATTATAAAATATTGATTCCGAACTATAACATGTAAATTGAAAATACAAAAACCTAAAATCTAATAACATTCAACCACTTTGAAAAATACTTTTTAAAATAATTAAATTTGTTCTTAAGTCCTTAGATTATGATATTTATTTCTTAATCCTAGAATGTTATTTCGAGGAGCAGAGAGTGCAACATACGTTTGGATATATAATAGGTTTAGAATTATCGATTTGCAATGGGATAATCCATTAACTTGGTACGTAGCAGCTATTTCTGTGGATTTTGGTTATTATTGGGTACACAGAGCTAGCCATGGTAAGGACAAAATCGATAAAAATTATTAATAATTTATATTATAATGCAAAACCAGATAAATGATTATAATTATCAGCAATTGTAAGCAGAAGATAGTTTTTATATTTTTTGTTGTAGAAGTTCACATATTATGGGCTCAACATCAAGTCCATCACAGTTCTGAAGAATTCAACTTAACCGTCGGTCTCAGACAATCGGCTATGCAAGGATGGTGTGGTTTTGTAAGTATAATTCAGAATTTTCTTAAACGTTACAACATACCAACAAATAAATAACTATTAATTTTCATAATATTATAAAAAAAAATCTTTCGCCAGATATTCTATTTGCCATTGGCGTTAGTAGTTCCGCCTGCACACTTTTTAGCACATCAACATTTCAGTATCATGTACCAGTTCTGGATTCATACAAAAGCAGTAAAAACGTTAGGACCTTTGGAATGGGTTTTAAATACTCCAAAACATCATCGAGTTCATCACGGTTAGTAAAACAATTGAATTTAAAAATGTTAGGAAAGTTTTACTTAAGAAACAAAGCTTTTTTGTTGAGTTTAATTTCCTCATCAATAATATTATATTTTATCATTAAGTAAGTATTTTTTTCAGGTAGTAATATTTACTGTTTGGATAAAAATTATGGAGGCTTTTTGATAATTTGGGATAGATTATTCGGAACGTTTGCAGAAGAGAAATCTGACGAGGAAATTGTTTACGGATTAGTTTATAACCAACCTTCATTTAATCCTCTGCATTTACAGGTAATTGGACCAACTCCATACAATGATTTTTTCCAAAGAAGTAAAATCTGTTTTAGTAATAAAATTGTACAAATTTTTCTAGTGGTTTTACACAAAGTACGTAGTTACCCGTTTTCGTTCTTCCAAAAACTGGCCCCACAGATTTGCTTCTCTGTTTTATGGCCCAAGTTGGGCTCCTGGAGCACCACGCCTCGGCCGAGAAGAAGATAAAGTAAAAGTGGTACCCCGCCCAAAATATGATGTAATTTTGCCAACAATAGTCAATATTTATCTTGCTGGACATTTTGCACTAGTTCTGTATGGATTTCAGGAACTGAGCATCAAGCATATGGTAAATAGTTTTCATAACGTTGTAGAAGATACTAAAATTAGATCTCAATTTTATATTTTTCTTTATTCCAGACCATGTCTCCAAGTGCCGTCTTAATTTGGGTCATCTACATCTTGATATCGGTGACTTCCATCGGTATGATGTTAGACGGTGCACCTGGTGCACCTTTATTGGAAACTGTTCGCTGCCTCTGGCTAGCCGTGTATCTGGATCAAACTCAATTTTTGTTAAAATTCCTATTTTTGATTTCTTCGGCTACATGGGCATGGTTTAGTTGTCATAATACTATACGGGCGAAGAAAATATGTGCAGATTGAAAATTTGGCAGAAATATTATAAAAAATAGTACCTATAATGATGGAGATAAAAATGTGAGGTAATACGAGTATAAATTTACTTTGCGACGCCGTTGCACATTCTAACAAACCATTATCAGAACCAAAGGATAATAATTTAAAAAAAATATATCCGATAATTATAGCATAATAACTAAATTTGTGAACATTTAGTAATGATAAAAATATGAAAAATGATGACGAATTATTAGAAATTAGAAAATTTTAGATTAAGCATTTTTTTACTTTATGCTTTGCATAGTAACAATTTTATATTAATCCATAAATAGTATTGAAACCAAAAAGGTATCTTATGAAATATTAGAAATAAAACAATCTAAATATCGAGTTCGGTTGTTAAGTTTATATAGTTGAATTTCCGTTGCACTTACAATTAGGTCTAGTCATTTAAATGTAAAAATATGAATGAGAAATTCTATATTAGTATTTCCTTTTTAAATTGTACAAGTATATTGATGAATATAATAAAATTATATTGTATATTGCGTGATATTAGAATTAGAATTATAGAGGGTATAAAAATATTATTACCTATTTAAATATCAGGATAGGGCTAATTTCACAAAAATCTAATAAAAATACCGATTAAAAAAATACAAAAATTATTGCACAATATAGAAATTATTAAGGTAATTCAAAATATAATATAATTTATTTACAAAAACAATACATGTTTTTTTTTATTTCAACCTTTTTGATGAAAATTTATTTCTTTATAGCGCTTCAGTGCATTTGGCTTCTCTACGTAGTTTATCCATTTGCATAAAAAATTGTTCTATTAAATTTGTAGGCAAATAAAGTTCTTTGAATTGTACGCCATTTATTCTTATAGTATAATCTCCGATTTGGTCAATCGCATGTATATCTGTCCACAATTCACTCCACGTAGTCTTGAAAATGAAACACATACATACATGCATACATACATACATACATACATACTTCATTAACTAATTTACCTTCCAGGTTCCAAAAACTTCACCCTTCTCAAGTATCAAAATTCTTTCATCTGTCAACATAAGGGTCTGTTTGCCTTTAATTAACCAAATGTGACCTTCATAAAGTTCTTTAGCATATCGACCTTCTTCGACTTCTGACAAAAGTCTTGAACCTTCGGCGCTTAAAGTCGAATAAGGTCTCAGCAACCCATCTGGATGCAAAAATCTTGGCAGACGGCGCCTGCTGCTTTCATTTTCCAAATCAGTTGCCCTTAAAAGATGATAACAAATTCAATTCAAAAGCAATTCATATTTTATTCAGATGCAAATCAACTTCCAATTTAAAGAGTCTACCGCTGATATGATATTTAAAACGTAATTGTTTCTTTTTAATCTACATCTAATTACCCAAATATTTACTCGAATTTATACCTTTTAACGGCTCCGAATGTATCAGCTGCAAAATCAATGATTCCTGTTGTAGGTCTTGCCACCAGCCCAATCGCGCCTTTGCCGACGCCTTTGACGAATCCTTTACTCCGGATGATCCTTTACTAACCATTATCCTGAGACACGCGCTCCGTTGTAGTACGATAAACACTTTACAGTACACTCATCTACCTACTACTCATATTAGACAAAAATGATTGTGAAATCTCAACACAAATCTTATAAAAATATAAAATCACTTGCTTATATAACACTGTGGCGAGATGTAAAGTTAACTGCAAATCTTACCTTAGAAGGATATGTTAAATTTTTTAACCGAACGATCTCATTCCAGAAAGCCGCAGAATACTTATTCGTAAAACAAAAAGTTTGTGGTAATGTGAAGAAGACATGAGGAATTGAATTGGGATAAATAATGTCGAACAGCTTTGTATGAAAGATGTACCAAAAGTTTAAAAAAAGAAGCAACGTTATTGATGCACCCTCGTTTAAACGCTCCTCTAGTCACCATAGTCACATATAAAATTATTATTTATCGATAAGGATTGTTTGAAAGTAAAGGCGGATTTGTGTTTCTAAGTGAAAATATTCCTTTTAAGTTCTAGCTTAACAATAATGGTTATAACAATTTAACAGTGTTATTATTTTTTGTACCATAACTAATCCTTTACTGCATCTAATAAGATTTTGCGACAAATTTACGGGTGGTTTACTCATCATTTTTCTTCTTCGATGTTGATATTCTTTATCAAAAGTCATTGCAGCAATGCCTTTCCCCATTGCTCCTATAAAATAAATTAGAATCTCTATAATCAATCTTTAGTTAAAAATAAAAGCATGTAGTATTTATCTACCTGTAATTTTAGATACTGCGCCAGCTGTACCACCAATTGTGTGACCAAATAAACTTCTCATACCAATATATAGACCTTCTGCAAACTCGTTTGGACCTTGTATAGCACCCTAATAATAATAATTTGATTATGAAAAATTATGAACATAGATTATTCTTAGTAGTAACCGTATGGTAAATGGTTAGAAAACATGTCCGATTCTCTTTTTCAAAAGAATAAAATAATAGTTAGAGTAAATTACCCGTAAAGGTTCATAAAATAAATCACCAAATCCTTTGGTATATCCGACGACCAAACCAAATGGATTTCCTAGGACATCCAGACCCAACATCAGAACATAAGCTTGCTTAACCGCTTGGCTGGTGTAGTGAGAAACTGCTTGATGGATCAACTGGCTATTCGAGAGCATACAATAGGTTCTTTCAAAGAAACCAAGCCTTAAAATGACAAAGAAACCATTTAATATAACTTAAGATAATTTTAAATATATGCTCAAACTACAAAAAATTAAACACCGAATTATATATACAAAATAAATCTCTGAATACATGCTTTCTATTCAACTTTTTGAATTTAAAACAAAAAAATTGTATAGTAAATTATTTTTATATTACCTCAATACGACGTCATGCATCTCTGTTAAAGTGACCCCGATTCCTTGTAAAAGAACTGCTATTATTGTAGGAGTGGAATCCATGGCCGTCATAGAAAAGCTTAAATGTATTTTCAGTGGAGAAAAATGTAGAAGGTCATAAAAATTTTTTGATTCCTTCTGTGAACCCGACTCAAATAATTGCCATAATTCATTATCTGCTAATTTTAAATCCTGAGCAAAAAGTGTAGCCTACAAAATGAGATGTAGGAATAGTAATATTCAAATGTTTAAATCCCAGTCAAATTCAAATTTAAATTAATTAAAAAAAAACATTTGAGTTTTAAAAGATATTGAACGTTATGCTAAATTGATAGACCAAGAAGTATGTTTCAGCATATGTGAAATAAAAAATATTATATATTGATTTTTTATTATTTTACCGCTTCCTCTTCAGATGTGGAACTAGTTTCCAACATTGCCACAATTGCGTTGATGAATGATATATCCAACTTGATATGAAATTCTTGAATAAGCAACTTAAAATATTTATATTGCTGAAGAGACGAATGTGGTATTAATCGTTTCACAATACTCAGTTCTAAGAAAGGCTTTACAACTAAAAAAATACATGAATTAGTACTCTCAATAAATTAAACAAGTCTTTCATATGTTTGATGAAATATTCAAATTATGTTTACCAATATTAACAATAGTTTTCCGAGTTCCAACGGCGGTAAGAACAACTGGAAAAGCACATTCTTTCATTTGATTATCGACTTGTATTTTATTAATTTTGCAATGTAAATGCATTTCGTTTTTAGAATTGCTTAGACTCACCCATAAACCAGGCCTGAAAGTTCTCCGTAACTTTCTTAGGACTGGTTTCAATAATAAATTTGATTCAAAATCAACCTGAAAATAGTATAATTATCATTTACTCAAAAATGAATATACGGTTGGTCAATTTTCACAGAAGGTTTAATATCACTTATAATACCTCTAAATTAGGTCTGATTTCAACTTTGGCATTTGGATATTTTGCAGGTATATCGATTGTAGATAGATATTTTACATAAGCTTCTTCTATGCTCACCATGTCTTCTAAATGCATAGGTTTGAATCTTTTTGATTTTAGTTTACATGTTTCCCACAAAATACCAGAACTAAAAGGAAAAAAATATAGAATGTATAATAAAAATAAATAAAAACTTACATACCACATATACATTCAAGCATTTATAGTTTTATAAAAAATGGTAAATCTTAAGGCAATATATGGATAAGGCTTAGTAAATTATGTGAATGATTTTGTCTGAAAGCCCATTGCTATTCCAGCTAGTTTTATACAAAATAAATGTAAAATCAAAGTACCTCGCAAAGCACATATACATGATATCAAGTAATTTTTGGTTATTAACAACCGAAAGTCCAACTCCATAAATTGACACAGCAATTTGGTCCATTATTAAATCTTGCCTGGTTATCAAAGAATTTTCAGCAAAATTTTTCGTACTCGTTATAAGAATAACTCTTTGCATATCGTAGAGAAATGACGACCAATACACAAACTGCCTTGCCTTTATCCTAAAAAAATAATAAATCAAAAATAAAATTTGAATAAAGTATATTAATATTTATTCTTCTATTTAGATTTTATTTTCTTACTTAACTGATCCCATGCCATCTCGCTTCAAATCGTGGGTCACAATTCTTTTATTTTTAATGTAGCACGTGAAGGATTTCGGTCCTGATGGATTATCCCATGTGAAGTACATGTGTTGAAAAGGTCCAACGTATCTAAAAATATTTTAAATTCACAAAATAAAATTATTTAATTTACAAAAATATGTTAATATTAATATTGCTAAAAAAATCAATGTTTTATAATAATTTGACTCTTAATAAATAATATTCAAACTTAACTGACCTATAATTTGTAACACTACTATCTTTAACAGCAACTTGTTCTTCAGTATGGTTAATAACAAGTGCTGGTGCCATTCCTGGTATATAAATTTGTAACATAATATATACAGAACTATCCAAAACTTGAATTTCAGCTTGGATTCCACCAAACTACAAAATAAAAAAAAAACATTTGTGAATTTCCTAAATTACAGCTTGAATTCTTACCTTATTATCCAAGCGAAGAAGTACAGTTACTGGCGTTGTATAAGTTACTGGTAAAGTAACTTGATTCAAGTTTTCACATTTCATATATATTGATTTTTGTGGTTTTTTGCTCTTAGGCCAAAACGGTAAAACCGATTTTGGTCCTAATTTTATCCAAGGAGCATTGGAAACTTCAAATTCTTGGATTTGAATCATGTAAGACGACTGGTTGACCAAAAGATATCGTGGAGTAAACATAATCTGCTTCGTTAAATTATTATACGTCAAAGAATTTGATATACCAAGCTGGAAGAGAAACAAATATCTTTAGTTAACTAAGAATTAACAAAACAAAATTTTTTTACCTCATAAATCATTGCGCCACTAGGACATGCTACAGAACCCCAAGAACCAGGTGTGTCCAGAGGTACCTCTATTGACCATTCTCCCGTTTCAACCCTGACCAGCGCGGTTTTCTTGTCGAAGAAATTTTTTGCATGAAATGAAAACATGAGGGGTCCTTTGAAATCGTCAGGTTGGTATAAAACATTTGGGGTCTCCATATATTGCTGATGAAATAATTTTTTGTCATTCTTATTTTATTAATAATCACTATTTGTCTGCATTATTGCCTAATAAAGCATAGAAAGTCAATGATTTTTGTGATTAAGTATGTATTTTTGGTGTAAAATATTTTCCCTTACATAAAAATTTAATTGATCTAGTAATCGAGTCAGATAATAGAATGCATATTTGTTAATGACCAAAATTTTGTTTATTTTATAATAAATTTCTCCAAAACAAAGTAATAATACAACTTACCTTACGTACTCCTTTTAGTTCAAGTGTTTCTGTACGTTTGGATTTCTGAAAATACAAAAAGCTATATCAATCAATATATATGAAATAGAACATTATCAGAACTTGAATGCAAATACATGCAATAGTCGTTATTATAATTATGTATCAATTTAGATTATAATAATGTATGAACTAAATCACCATATAAGCTAAACACAATCCTGTGTTATTGATCATCCAGTAAGGACAATAAATCGTCATGCAAAAAGTTCCTTCTTTGTAAATTGTGTGAAGTCCTAGATTTAATTCCATCACCATAGGACTGTCATATGATTCAAAAGTCCACACAGACATTCCTTCAATATTTGGTATATCGTGGTAACAGTACCATGATTTGTCTAAGTACTTTAACTATAAAATAAATAGATTTTTATTAAAAAAATAGTTTTCATAATTTGTAGTCAATAGCATAAAAATGTAATATACAAATGTACAAATAGGTAAAGGTGCATAAAGCACAAATAGTAAATGAGTTATGAATAAATAAAACTATTTTTTTAATATTATAACAATTTGTTTTTATCAATTGTAACTGACCAAATTTCATTATGCAAAATTGAGTAAAAAAAGAAGAAAAACCTGATACAAAAATAGAAGTATCTGTAACGACGGTGGATTTTATACCTAAATTTTAAAGATATTTTAATAATAATAACAATTATAATGAGACATATATATATATATATGTGTGTATGTGTGTGTGTGTAATTAAAGGAATTAAATGAGAAATAATAAATAATTGAAATTTTATGTACCGAAACTGTAACAACGCATTTTCCCGGTTCCACATGAGGCATCTGTAGAAGTTCTCCTGGATCCAATTGTGTTTCCATTGAAAATAACTTGATTTTAATACTGACTGGTAAAGAATTACAAAAAAGTGAAGAAGATCTAATTTTTAACTCGTAATAAGCACTTCTTGATGTATGTCTCGATGTTAGTTCGTGGTAAATGCTTTGAACTTTTCCCATCACCTAAAAAAATAATGATATTGTTGAATAAACTAAAACTTTTTTAATTAAAAGAGTATATTATATTCTAGAAATAATGATGCAATTATTTATAAATATTGACTTGTAAATTTGATAAAATTTTTATACACTATTTCCAAGAGCTTTTTAAATAATAATAAGTAATAATAAATTCTGTTAAATGTTAATCAGTACCTTGATGAAAAATGAAATGTTTTCTTGCGAGTCCTCAATTTTGCACTGAAGTAGACTTTGCAATTCTCCTAAATTTTTTAATTCTTCACATGAGAAAGGTGTTTTACTTATTGTGTATCCCTATGGATAAAAATATCAGTATACTTAAACACAATAATAATATTGGTGCAACATATTTAACACTATTATTATATATTTATGATATTAAATTCTAGAAAGATTTAATACCCGAACTCCAAAGTACAATTCTCCAGTTCCAGCATAAACATATTTCATCGGGATATTTATAAAACTCTGCTCTTCGATTGTGCCGATCAGAGTTATTGCTTTTGTGCTTCGTTTTACATAATACACATCGACATTTGCTAATAAATGATTGAACACCTATAAAAATAAAAGTCAAACCATAAAATAGATTCTTTTAATAATCATACGGAACTGTGTTCTATAAGCTGTTGTGATGTAAATTCATAAAGATTCATTGAAGAGCAACCCAGTGGTTAACCCTTGACCAGATATATTTCTAAAGAAAAAAGTGAATATATATTGCATCAATGCCCGTTTTCATTTATTATCATATTTCATATTATATACTATCAAGTCAAAATTAGTTATCGCTACTGCTTGATATCATGTTGTCTCAGATGGATATCAAACCCAAAGCCTGTGGTTTCTAATCGAAGTATAAAATAGATAAATATTTTTTTTAATATTTTTCGTGTGTATATATAAGAAATAAAAAGCAACCGTTATTTTTAACGTGAAAAAATTAAAAATAATCATTTAAGCTTCGAAAATATTGATGACAAAAATATGAATATGATCAACTTCTCTAGAATATAATCATTCTTGCAATAATAATTTGAAAATAAAATTATATGTATGAAATACCGCATATTTTAAAAAAAGAAAAACAAACGGCAATTTATTTAAAATTAAATAAATATTCTTTAATACTATAATTTATAAATTATACATTCTCTAAAAATTGTAATTAATTATATTTCGAGTTTCAGGTTTGTGTAATTTTAAGTGATCGTTTAATTTTATTCTTTTTATAGTTTCAATCCTTCAAAGTTCCCGAAGAAGAATGCATTTCATACCACCGAAACGTAAAAATAACAATTTTTTATTTAATGGTCTTTAGTTCAGTCGAATAAAATTATTAATAATATGTATTAAATGATATTATAAATTTAGATATTTAGATAAATTTTTCAAAACGACATTTTGCAATCACATTATAGCCAATTAAATTAATTTATCTACTCAAGATATCTATTTAGATTGTATAAATACCAATTATGCCATATTCAAAGCAATAATGTACACATTTACTTCCAATTTATAAATTGATTGACTGTTTGCTTCATTAGCGTCTTCATACACGCCTTCCTTTAGTAAATATTGATGTGCTTATTCATACCGATATATCGCCTATTTATTATTTCAGAATTTATTGACCAAAATCACTACTATCATTCTAATTGCTATATTTTTACTAACTTTACGTTTACTTCGTATAAAATGTCAATATTAATAATTTTATTTTTATTTTTTTACAACTGTAAATGTAACATCAACCAGTATGCGACGGAACCAGACGTGTTGTACGTTTGTTTTCAAAATGCTATTTCGACTCAAAAATTTAATCAATTTCCTTATATTACACATGTAATCAATGAAAATGAATCACCTGAAATTCAACATTCAATAGCAACGTCTTTAAGCCAGGTAGGTTTGCCTGTAAAAATTTTAAAAGACACTACACATGCGGTGTATTACAAGTCTTCGATATTCTACAAATCATTTATGTACGTTATTTATATAAAAAATGAATTGGAATTTCAAGAAAAGCTGTATAAAATTAAGAATTCCGTATCTTGGAATCCAAGTGCTAAATTCTGGATTCTAGTACCAAAATTCAGTGAAGATTTTATCAAATTTGTACTAAAGCAACTGTGGACAAATAACGCCGTCAACGTTGTAATAATATTCAAAACCAAAGCTGGAGTCAATATCATAACATGGTTTCCGTACGATAGAGATTTTTGTGGCAATTTTGTTGGAAAATTATATGTAATCAATAAATGTAACTCCCATGGACAATTGATCCATAAAAAAGAAATATTTCCTAATAAAGTGCCGAAGAATTTGAACGCTTGTCCAGTTAAAACATTATATTTGAGATGGCTTCCAGCAGTGATCGACCCGATGTCAAAAAGTTATCCTGGATATGAGGTGGAAATTATGAAAATTTTAGCACAAGTTGCTAATATTACTTTGGTTTATATGCCTCTCAATATTACGAAATTAGGACAACGAAATTATAGAGGAAACTGGACCGAAATATTGGGAACTTTACAGGTAAATGGACAGAAGGGTGAAACAAAATTTTGTTTATTATTCGTTTCTTAAAAGTAAAATCTATTTTTTTTTTAATGCATAATTTCAATGTAAATATGTCTTATGTATCCTTTTACCAATATGTTGGTGTAACTACTTATCATAAATATTGCTATAAGAATTTATTGCAGAACAAAACTGGAGATTTTTTATATGGTAGCATCGAAAATACAGTGAACAAACATTTGGATTTTGACCTTAGCAAAGTGTATGCCTTCAACAGCATCATGTGGATCGTTCCAAGTTCTACAAGAAAGAACTCCAAACACATATTTCGAATTGTAATTAATGAAGTGGTGTGGATTCTTGTGATTTTATCGATCACTTTATTAGGAATAATATTCTGGTTATTGTCAGTTTTGCATTTTGAAAAACACGAATACTCCAGACTTTATATGATGGCTACCAATGTATTTCGACTGTTCACTTGTAAGTAAAAAATATTGTACTCGTAAATCATCAATTTCTAACTTAAATATTTAATTGTTTTCAGGCGAATCAATGCCACATGGTCCAAAAAATTCAACAGTTCGTTGTTTCTATATATTTTGTTTCTTCATCGCCTTATTATTGACAACGCACTACAACGCCTTGTTATATGGTTACCTTGCCTATCCAATTTACGGAAATCAAATAAATGATTTGAGACAACTATTAAAATCGGATATAAATATACTACTCCATCCCAAATACCAAGACGTATTTACTGTAAATTCATCTAGACATTCCAATAAAGAAGTTCTGGACAAATTTGAAAAATGTGCTCCAGTTGAAGATTGTATAAGAAAAGTATCCAAAGGAAAATATGCAACAGTAGCAGATAGCTTTATTTTCGATTATCATTCATCAAAATATCCAATGGTGAATGAAAGATCAATTTTTCACCTCTTTCCGATACGACAATATTTTATAAGTGCTGTTGCAAGAAAAGGATTTCCTTTGATGTCAAGACTGGATAGTATCATAGGCAGAATGCAAGATTTTGGATTCATAGAATTGATTTCAAGACAGTTTCAAGTTTGGGTCGATTTGAAATATTTAAAGGAAGAGAAAGAGATAACACATTTTTTAAGAATTGGAATGGAACATATAATAGCTCCTATATATGTGTGCTTAGGACTTATATTCCTGGCATCTGTTGTTTTCGTGTTGGAGATAGTTTGGTATACATATTTTAATACATAAATTTAATTAATTAATATAATAAGATAAATTTTAATTTATTATCATACCTGTATTATGCTCCGAAGTGTTAAAGTTGTCACATTTTCATTGATTTGAACATCGGAAACTACTGCCCTCGGTTCACCATTTGGATTTTCTTTGGACATCACAAAATATCTTTTATCAGCTCTATTCAAGGGCAAAATTAACTCACTTTTTTGATGGTCTAGCTAAATAATTGAATTAATTATACACTAAATACTACAAATTTTCAATTTTAATTTTATACTCACTATGACCGTTAATTTCTTTTCTGAATGTATATGAGGAAATGGTGTATCATGTGTCGATACAGGAGATTGTATTTTAGATACTTCTCGTAATTGTAAATAAGTTTGCGCTCCGTTCCCAAGAACAATTTCTTGGTAGTCTACACTTCCACATGCCTTAAATGGACTAAGACTCAGTAATAAGGTCACATCAAATCCTGAAAGATTCAACTGATTATGCAAAAATAAATAATATAACCCATATTAATACTTTACCTAAATCATTTCTGATTAAATACGGAAAATTAACATTGCTGGCTGGTTCTACTTCGATGCTTTCTCCTGTAGACTCAACAAAGCCATATGATTTTTGCAAGGTTGTCAAGACCTATTGAAAGGCATTTAGAATTATAATTACATAAGCTTTTATTTAAAAATTTATTTACAACTAGACAAAATCAAATTAGAATTATATTTTGCTTACTAATATAAAAAAATATTTATTTATTGTATTTAAACTTCTTTGATAATTGAATAAATAATTGGATGTGAATGACTTTGAAAATGTATGGAACTATCCTGAATTAATGGTACAAAATTAGCATCCCAAACAAATGTTATGTAATAATATTATTATACTTAAATTATTAGTATTCTTTTTCAATACTAGAAACCATAGAGCATTTATCAATTTTTTATAAACTTACTTCCAAACATGTTTTCGATAAGGTCAGTTCAAGATTATTTTGCGACATTATTGTGATTTTTCGAGTCATGATCGGTTCGAATTTATCCACAACCAATTTGTTCTCAAGCTAGTAAAAAATTAAACATGACTGATAATAAATAATAAATATTAATAATATAATAAACTGATGATTACGTCTAATTTTAATTGCCAGGGTGTGTAAACTGTCAATCCATCGATCACTTCTTCCATGGGTTCTATAATTGCTTCCCATAAACCGTGTTTGGTATTTTGGTAAGCCATTTTTATCCACATATCGCTAAAAACATACATCTGGAATAAAATAATGCGATCAATTAGTAGTAATAATATAGATCATTGAATATTTCTCACATATAAGTTACCTGCGAATTCCAGTCGTGCAACGCCGCTTCGTACTTTATTTCTATAAATAATAATTGCATAGTTTTTCCCTGGGTGCCACCTTCCAAATAAACCTGAATCGATGGGACAAATAATGCGCATTTTTCTGATACGTTCTTAGAAGGTGTCGTTTGTGCAACAACTAAATTTAGTTCTTCATATGCTTTCTTCACTATAATGTCATCCTCTTCATCAGACAACAAGCTAATATCTGGACAAATAATAATATTTAAAGAAAAAAAACGTATTATGCATATCAATTCTTGTGAGATATTTTATTCGTTTTATTCTGAAGGAATGTAATATTTTTCAAGCATAACTCGAGATACAAAGCTTTGAGCGAGTAAGAGTTTTCTAGAAAAATGTTAAGACAAAATGAAAATATAAAAAGATTCGTCTGTTGTAACAATGACTTTCCTGCCATAGAAATATTTTGGGCGTTTTCAAGGGAGTTGCTGAACAAAATAATAAAAAGTAAACTTATTTTTAATATTCAAAAAAACTTAACAAAAACAACAGTGCTTTGAGATACCATAGATTCCGCTTCCGGGAAATCGCACTTAAATTACCTTCTTCTTGTTGTAAAAACCAATATTCATAATCAGAAAATTCGCATGGCAGCCACATATTAGAAAAATCACGTTCTTCTTCCGGCTTTTCTGTAACACCTTCTTGATTCATAGTGTCCATGATCTTTTTAACTAATTGAGTGACATCTAATCAAAACACAAATCACATTATCTTAGAAAATAGACGCGACATTTATGAAACATTTTGTATTTACTTGGGGATAAAAAGACTTGTATTTCAGTAACACATATATCGATATGCATGCCATGTAAAGTCGGACTAGAACCAGTAAAATTCAGTGAACATGGTTTCAATATTGGTACCATAGTTTCCTTCCTTCGGTTCTCATCAAAAATACAAGTGTAAATGTGCAAATCTTTCAAGGAACCCGTTACTACAGTACGTTCCAAAACATTCCTATAACGCAAAAGTAGCTCTGTCTAAAATATAATTGAAACTAATTAATTGATTTGGTTTTAGATTGAAATTTGGTTTTACTTGATCAAATATAATAACATAATTTGACTAATGATCTAGTTATAGCTTCAAGGGCAATGCTGCCTATTACTTCTGTCCATCTGCTGACTTACATTTAATATAATGCAATTGCAATCAATATCATCCATAGCTTCCACCAGAATAATATCAGGCTGTTCAAGTCGCAAATCGACTGTGAAAGAAAATTTTTTATCGTCGATTTTTACAGTACTTTTATGATCAATTGCCATGTTTAGTTTAGTCGATGATTTGCGATCAACGGATTCCTTGCTGAATGTTGACTTCGTAGAGACCTGCCCTGAGGGCGTTTTGAAAAAATCACTCACCGTGGTCAGATAGTCCATGCTTATTATGAAATTCAAACTGAAAACCCTTATAGCAACTGAAAGAATAAAAGTTATAAATATAATATTAATTCTATTATTATCTTAGTATTTTTTTTATTTGTAAATTCATCTACTAACTCTTACCAAATTGATTATGGAGTGTCGCGGTGTATGATAAATCCAACATACTTTTTAATGGTTTATATGCACTATAATTTGTATATGATGATATGGGTTTTGTGGATCTTTGTAAATATCTAAAAACGAATCAAAGTTCACATTTAGTTCAGGTAAATCCTATTTGTTATTATTTAAAAGTATGTACCTAGAAATTTTATTTACTCTGTAGCTTCTTGTATCATCAAATGTACAATCACAAAGTAGAACGTCAATGGCCATTGATTTGTCACTGAATTGTCTTCCTTTTGCAGATAAAACTAGCAAACTGAAGCGAGCTAAACCTTTTCTTGGCAATTTTACACTTTTGGCAGTATTCTATAAGTAAATTATCAAAATATAGTATATGTAGTATCGGAAGCAACTATCGTTCTAATGAATTTGGAAATCTAAAAATTTATTTATTATCATCTTACAAATTGAGTGCCTCCAGTGAATAAATCAATGGTCATCACATCCAAAGTAAATTGAAAACGATACACAATCTTCAAGCTTGCTTCAGAAGATTCAGAATCGCTAGAATCTTCTTCAATGTTTGTTGTTTGATGATGTATTAAATCTAAAGATTTTCTTGAAAGTTTCCACTCCGATTCTCGATATGTCGTTGCTGCAAATAAAAAAAAACTGATAATATTTGAATTATTATAAACTTATTATGAATACTATTTGACATAATTATATTTGCAACAATGCTCAAAAAGGCTATTTTCATTTGAAATCATATTTGAGATCTACAGTCACTACAGTTTGATATCAAGCTTGCTGAGGTGAGTAACAAACCTGGAAACAGTGTTTGCTAGACCAAATTCTTACCAGAGCCAACTTTTTAGACTGCTAGTGATGATGGTTAAATTAATTTAATCGAAATGTAATATAAGCATATATGTACAAGAAAGTATGTGACATTTAAGTATATACTTACATATATTTATGTATATACTTACATATATATATATATATATATATATATATATATAATTAATTAAACAAATTTATATTTACAATCTGCTGTAATATGAGTAGAACCTCTCACTGGTAGTTTTCCTTCAGTGAAATTTTGCGCCATTACGCTCATGGCCATTGCATAATCTGATTTACTAAGCAGAATCTAAATTGAAACAACAAATGAACAAATAAACTATACAAATACATTATATATATATATATATATATATATATATACATTATATATATACATATATATATATATATATATATATATATATACCTGAATACTTTTAACTTTTCCAGTTATATCAAGTTGTGGTACATTAGTATACCAAACATAAGACAGATTTCTTTTGATTAACATGGAGAATGATGTAGGTCTTAATAATGTTTGTTCCCTTTCAACAAAATGAGACTTTGACAAACTCGCTCTCGACATTTGCAAATCTTCTAATTGCAGGGATAACTCTTCTATCACTATTCGAATTTCATCCATATCCTGAAATTTAATATTATTATTCATATTAGCATTACAATTGAAAAAATGTTTCAATACTTACAAACGCTCTTATGTTATCAAATTTATTCATGATGGTAATATAGCCAAAATCAAATATGAACACATGTAAGCTTTGGGAATTTATTGGAAGAACCAATATAGGTGCTTTGATGTGAAGATTTAATTGGACTCTTGTGATATTTTTCATGTTTATTTGTTCTATAACCGCATCGGCCGCTTCTGTCGCTGTATCTACTATTACTTTATGGGCGTATTCAAAATTTTTTATAAAATCCTGAAATTGAATAAAAACCTATATTATAGGTATGATATAGGACAAGCTTAATTTATAATCTTCTAAGGAAATCGAAGAAAATATCTTATATTACGACAAACAAGTAGTACAAAAAGTGTACAAAATATGGAAAAAAGTATTCTTGTTAGCAGTCAATAAGCCAAAAATAATTAATAAAATGAATTACTTTTGTACGACTCAACTCAATAGTGGTTTAAGAATAGATGCATGTCATCATTTAGCAGTTCTAAAAATAATAATTACAAAACAAGCAGCAAAAAAATTAAACATTGATTTATAATTTTTTATAAAAGAAATACATAACACATTAAAAAGAACAAAAGAGAGTAAAACATACTTATACAGTTATAGTTAAAAAGGTTCAGAGATAACTAAACCATAAAAATTGAAAATTAAAACATAAAATCTAAAATTAACAATTTAAAGTGTTAAACATTGCTAAAAATGTGGATATTCTAGAAAGTAAATTTTATACTTACAATAATTGTATTAAAAAACCAGTTAAGAAAAACAATTTTAACACATCCCACATTTGCAACAATGGACATATCATTTTTGTTATATTTTGGAGTTCGAACCAAATCGTACCAAACAACAATACAATGTAATGCTACACCTTCTACAACTTCTACTATCTAAAAAAACAATATTTTATTAAATTATGAGAAAATAAAATAAATAAAATGATAAATGAACTAAATATAAATAACAAGATTTTTATATATACTTCAATGGTGTTGATGATAATTATTTCTGAAATACCGTTTTGTGAATGCTCTTCACATTTTTGTCTCGTAATCTTATATCTTTCAATTTTAATGTGATCTTCTTGTGTGATTTTTTGCTTACGATACCACTAGATATTCCAACAAGAGCAAAGTGTGCTAAATCTCTTCTGTCATTTGCTATATGCAAAGAAACTTCTTCAATTTTGGCAAGAATTTTTATATCAGTGATTTCATTCTGCATATCCATTTGTTTTTTGAAATCGATAACTCTAGCTAAAACTATAAATCATAATGTGTAAATAACTTAATTCATTGATAAATTTATTACTAGACTATTATTTACGTGTTCCTGAAGATTTAGCAATTTTAGTAAAATTTTCTTCCTTGAAAAGTAGACTGACAACTTCTGCAAATGTTTTATTACTTTTTTTGTTAATGTTTCTTATATGTTCAATTTTTAGATCACTAAGTCTTTTCTGAAGTACCTGTGCTTCCTACAGTTGTTAAAAAATTAATGAAACATTATAAACAAATAATAAAAATTTAGGCACAAATGGAGTTTAAATTAAAACATATGGCGCCGTACCAATAAAATATTTTAGAATTTTGCTGATTGCCTTACTGATGATATTTTATTTATAACAAAATAAATACCTTATTTTTCCACTTACCGATAAGATTTCATTTATACTCTGTTGATTTAAAGTAATATCTAAAACATTAAAATCTAATTCAATCTTTTGTTTGACACTGGCAAATTCTGTTGCAAAAAAAGGTGATTCCAATTCAACCTATAAAAATATTTAAATTAAATATTAATTAGTTGTAAGTTGCATTTAGAAAAAATTTAAATGAATGAAACATAACTCATATCTTTCGAACAGATTTGAATTTTTAAAATCAGTTCAGGATTTATGGCTATATGAGTAAAAACAAATATGTTTGTATATTTACCTGTTTGTAGGAAATATTAAACAAGTTATCACGATCGTGAATAAATTTGACAGTTTTAATAGTTTTTATAATATCTACAGTTTCCGGGCTTCTGTAGTGTTGCAGTTCAATGCTTCCAAGACTGAAATTGCATAAATTATTATCATATTGAATTCAAAAACCTATTTACAGTAAAAAAAATAGCAAAACATTGATTTTAAACATGCCTTAAGTCACAACTTAAATCGTAAGATTTTTGAACCATTATAAAATTCAAATGACGAACATTGAAGTGTATTAATTTCTGACAGTATTCTTGTGGATCCTTTTGTCTGCGAGACTTTAGGGTTACTTCCACAGTTTTGTATAAATTTATAGATAATTCTATAATAAAATAAATTTATTATATTCATTATCATAAGATATTATCATTTGACTTACCCCCAAATTTGAAATCTACATATAATGATACTAATTGCGCTGACATTGGATTTCCTTCGTCGACTTTTTGAGCATTTATTTCTTTCGAAATTAAATTTATTATTTTAGATGAAGAAGAAGCTGCTGTCATAGTAGATGCTTTAGAAGTAGTTGATTTTTTATCTGCCTGTATTAATGAAAAAAGAAATGAAATAAAAGTGCATAATTTGTCATTGATCACCAAAATAGTTAAACTAATAAATAAATAAATTGAATAGACTTCTGAATGATTCATATGATAAGAATTTTTTTTTCCAATTTGATTTTTCAACAGTTTGTATTCAAATGTTTTCTAATAATAGGAAACAGCAATAAACATAAATTTTGTTCAGAACAATATATAATATAACACTTTGATAAAAAAAAAAAGGATAATCAAACAAACCAACTTTATAAGATATTAAACGAAAATATTAGAAATCGAACTGTTTTGTTCAATTTAATGATACTAAACATATATCTCAATTTGATGGACTATTGATATATATATCAAGTTATACTCACTAGATTGTTATTCGCTTGTGTTGTTTTTTGAAAACTTAAAGCTAAAGCAGCCGTTTCAACAATTCTAACATCACTGAAATTAATTTGAACTGAATCCAATACTCCGGATATCCTACAAATAACAAATACTTTTTAAATAAATTCAAATTCAAAATTATTCAAGTTATCATACTTCATTGATGGAAATCTTGGATCGTCTGATATGAGACACTTTTGGATGGTAATTTTTAATGAAATGGGATTAATTATATTCATATTATCATCCTTGGATGTTCCAACTCTATTAACCAACTCTTCACTTCTTAGAGCAAGAAGAATCTGAAATAAATTCATATTATACTGTTAAATCATCTATTTTGTGAATATTATATTTAAAAATATACCTGAACGTCTGTAATATTAGTAATAAAAGAATCATAAGATTGTAGAATCAAATTATTCAAAATTTCTTCCTCATCTAAACCTTCATCGTGCATTGTTTTAACTTCCACTCTAGGTGCTCTAGGTTCTGTTGTAATAATCAATTTACCCAAATCGATGATAAGTATTGATCTTGGACTAAAATTTTGAAGAAAATTAATTCTAGTGTTTGATAATTATTTTTTTGATTTGATTAAAATTTACTTCACATTGCATCCAGCATAAGGTATGACAATATAAGGTGCCAGTACGTTAATTCTACAATCAAGGAAAGTTTTGGTGGTAAGGGCGTATTGTAGACCCAAAGCAGACATTTCTTTAACATTCATTTTTGTTGTTTTATTTAGATCAGCCCTAAAAGTACACAATTACAACTATAGGTATTTAATTTTGCTCAATTATTTATATACTTACAAAGCATTAAAAACTTGATCTTCTGTTACTATTGTGAAAACATCTATAATGCTTTGAATAGTGACATCATCATACATAATTTGTAAAGGATTAGCGAGCACGACTAATCTTTCATCGCATTTTTTATCCAAAGGTACCATTTCGTATAAGATTTCAAAAAGCATAGGAAAACGTCCTTTAGGTTCAATTAGAACTGGAAGATACTTATCTTGCTTTTTCCCGAACATTGCCATATCTCTGATTGTGAACTCTATCCTAAAAAAGGTAATAATCATGAGATAAAAAGCATTTGACTTATATTGATGTTGTCAAGCATATTTCTCTAGTTTTTGTATGTGTGTATATTCTTATGATTTGTTGAAATAAATACCAATAATTTTAATTCACCTTAATCCAGAAAATTTTGAACGATTACCAACATGCAGACGACATGACTTGATAAAAAACTCACTGATGTGTTCGTTGTTTTCATTGAAAATCTTTAATGATAAAAATATTGTTAAAACCTAATATGCCATTCAAATAATGATAAATTAATACATATGAAATTATTTTCATGGAATGTTTGAAAATCAATAATAGCTTTAACTTGCCACTATTCGCATTGTGCTCAGCAAAAATGTAAGAACATAGTCATAATATGTTTCAGGATAAGGTGATGGTATTTCATCTTTATCCAATCCAATGGCTGCATATAACTTCATCTTTTCATTAGCATTTAATGCTCTATAAAATTGTTCCTCTATAAAAATAGAATTCCATTAAAAGCATATTATTTGAATATATTTTTCATGGCATTCAAAGTTTTACTTATGTTTCCAGATGAATCCAAATCGGTATCACTACCAGACCACCAACGCGATAACCATGATTTATTTTTGGCTGAGTCTTGTTTTTGCTTTTCTTCTAATTCTAGCTGTATATACATAAAACATAAGCAAATGTATATTTGATCTTTATACAATTTAATACTAGATCAAATCAAATCAATTTTAATACCTCAAAATAAACTTGTTTTCGTATAAGAAGTATATTTGCAGTATCCAAATAATCCTCACAAAATTCTATTTGTCCTTTTATATCTTCTGTAATGCGCCCTTTTCGTTTGACTTTTTCTTTAAAAGCTTTGCTATACAACCTTAAATAAAATATAAAAAAATCTCAAGTAAATAAAACATAAAAAGATTATATTCACCTTATTAATTAAATATGCTGAACTTGTTGATAAGTTTACATTGGTATGCTTATGAATCAGTTGATTGAATATCTTCAATCGGGTTTCTGCACGGATAATGTTGTATATATTCAATTTATTACAATTGGCTTATAGTGAATTATTGAATAATTATAAATAAAATATTTCAACATACTTATACACCATTCTGTGTCCTTTTATATGATTCCAATCCCAATTTTTTCTCACTCGTCGAATTTGTTCATTGACAATGCACTCATAAGCAAATTGCCACCATTCCTTTGCATGACCGGAATATATATCAAGGAATGGCCTGTATTTTCTGTATGGCAAACCTTCAAAATAATTCAATTAACATTAACTTATTACATAATTATAAGCTTTCATATTTTCTCATAAATTTACCTTTATTCATTCTGTCCATGGAGTCATTCAGAAGAATCAAGCATTGAAATTGTTTTTTTGAAATTTTGATATCTAAGCGCTGCATGTCCATATTTATTTTAACTACTGGAATGCTATAAGGTGGATCATCGTTTTTGGGTTTTTGACTTGCACTTAATTTTGATAAAAGGAACAAAGGACCAAAAACTATGAATAAAATTCAGAATGTGATTGGGTGTATCATGTGATTAAATTAAATAATATTGTAACTACCAATTTTTTTTTTCAAAGATTATACGGCCTTATTATTAATTTTTCTTTACCATAATCAAAATTATCAGGAAAAAATCCTCGTTTGGCTACATTATGTTCCAAAAATTTAGTTTTTTCTTCATCAGTAATCTGTGCTATACGTGCGGGTGTGCAATTCCAATACAATCCTAGACATTCTAAATCCATTACCTAATTTTTTAGCAAAAACAATAAAAGATTTCTATAAATACATAGTAAATATAAATTACTTAATTACTTAGTTGAAAAGGATATGACAAATAATTTTTCAAAGCAAAAGAAATATATAGTAACATAATGAAAATTAATTCTATAAAATATAAAGTGTCTTCAGTCTTTTTCATAAATCTAGTCTATCATAAAATCGAATTTTATCTTTTTGTATCTATTAATATATTTATGTATTAGGTCGATTTGTTACAAAAGTCGTTCTTTTTTAAACACATTACCTTAAATATTTGCCAAGTAGGTTTATTTTCAACTCCTTCAGCAGTATTAAACACCAATGTGTCCATTGTTAAACCCAAAGCAAAAGGGTGCCCAGGATTAGTTACTTTATCCTCATATCTTATGTGAATAGTGCTAATCTTAACTTGCATATTTTTAATAATTTGTGTAACCATTTTATCGGTGAATGTATCTTCCATCGTCTGAGGCGCTCCTAAAATAATAATATTTTTTAACAAAATTATTTGAACTAAAGTTATAATTATTACCTAATTCTCTTATTTTGCGATTGTTCTCAAATTCTTCTAAAATTTTTTGTTTTTCTTCTTTCATCTTTTTATTTTCAGCATCTGCATTATATATCACCTGTTGACAGGATTTTTGGACTATTGTTGTTGTAAATGAATAGATTATTTTACAAAATACAAAACCTCCAAGTTAGGCTCTGCCAAAAGAAACAACCTCTCGACTAATACAACAACAGGATCTTGATATAAGTTTTTCCATGGGATTTTCAAAATTAATTTGCCTTGCGAATTTTTATTAATTATTAATTAAATATTGCATATTATTGTATATATCATAATTTTTTATTTATATTGACTACTTACCCAGTAAACCATACACTGTTTGAATAGGTAATTCTAAATCGTTGAGAGCAGTGTTTTTTAACTTCAAATTTGTGAATACAGCATCACCTGAAGCATTTTTTCAGTAGTATTTTTTTATTTCATGGATAAGCATTTTGTTAAAGAAATATATCAATCACCTCCCCAGATTCCCAAATGTAATTGTGATGTATCAAGGTCCTCTATATAATCACTTAAAATCCTGTTTAAAACTTCTACAACGATTTTTTCGAAAACCATTTTTATAACTTATGTAAATTTAACTTAAAAACTTATGCGAAATAATAATAATTAAATGTTAAAAATAATTCATAAAAAAATATCTAAAACAAAATATTGTCTAATTCATATTCAAACTATGATTTGCACATTATAACAGATAATTTTATTTTTAAACATTGTAAGTATATGAATATGAATTACTCCAATTAATTGAATAAAACTTTACTAGCATAATTAATCATTTATAGTTTCAAACTTATTGAAATCAAATTATTAAATAAATAGAAATGCTATATGAACAAATAATGACGAGTTGTGATTCATTTATTTTGTCAAAATAAAACAGGAATTTTAATTTCTTGATTATACTTAAATTGGTTTTGATTTAGTGATTATTATAAATAATGAAATAAATTATATAAAATGCTTTGTAGTAAATATTTTTATAATGTTAAATTTTTTTCATCCATTGTCATTATGACATTTGTTTGCAAAGAGAGCTCTGTTAAAGAAATATTTACTAAAATCAGGTTTATATTTTGAAACTAAAGCTTCGTCGGCTATAAATCCTTGCATGATGATTTCTGTAGAGAGTTTGCATGAAGCATAATGAAGTTCAGCAGTGTCAACCATTTTTAAGACTTTGGGATCATAGTCGCTCAATGTCTTGAGACACCAGTTGAAGAAGATCTGTATTGAAGAATCATGCCTTTTACACAATAATTTCTTGCATGTTGTATGAAATATGTAATTATTGAATCAGAATCAATTAAAAGTCTATAATCATCAATATTCAAAAAAGTATGTCAACAAAATATGTATTAGTTTAACTATAAAATTCAATTCAAAACTTACTTTAAGTTATGTTTATGCAATCATTTGCAATCAGTTTTTCTTAACACAAGTGATTTGTTGGTTTTCTGTTATAGAAAACAGCAGTGACATTATGGCTTCTTATTAACAATAACTTTTACTGTATGCATACCTACTTTTAAATATTTTGTTTCTCTATTTCATCACAACTCAGAAAACACATCAATGTACACACAAAGAAGAAACAGTAGTTTTTACACAACACTAGAATACAAACTGAATAATAATAGAATATATTCAAATGTAGTTTAATCGATCTGTGACAAGTAACTGATGATTGTCAAACTGTTCGGAAGTTTGAACAAACTGCGTCAACGTCCAACGATACCAATGTAAACTAACGATACCAACATAACCTAAAAAAAAACTGGAAACAAACCATAACTTTTAAAAACCACTGACTTTAGTGTTATAAATAATATCTTAGATAAAAGAAGAGTTTATAAATATTATCATAGATAGAAAAAGAATATTATTTTTTACTGTCAATAAAAACTCAGTAGCAAATTATTCCAAAACAGAATTTGAAAAATACAGTTTCTTTATATAAATTATATAACGAATGCATTTATTAAAATCTACAACCATTACCATATTTTTATTTTCAGGTGAAAATCAGAATACAATAAGTTATATCCAAGATGTATTTCTTTATCAAATAAGTGCATGAAATAAAGATAGAGGAATATAAAAAAAACAAAACAGCACAGAATTATATACCACAATATATTGCTAATGAATGGATACTGAAAAAAATTATTTAAATATAATATTGTAAAAAAAATGAATAAATGATTATTAAATTATTTATTTATTTATTTATTTATTTATTTATACGCCAATCGGCTTATACAGTTTTATAATATTGTTTGCTAATTCAAACTTGTATATTTATAGCTATATACAGATACACACACATATAGACAGACAGATAGATAGATATATATAGATACAGATATACACATACAGATACACATACATACACATCTACTTACATACAGATATACATACACATAATACGCATACATATACACACATTCACATATATAAGTACATAATACATACACATACATTACACGTAGACTTTATAAAAAAAACTATGATAATTAAGTAACATAAAATAATACTTTGGTTAAGTAATATGACTTTGGTGAAATAATTAATTGCACAAAATATTGTGGTGTTTAAGTTTTTTCTTTATGTAGCCTCAAAACTTTGTTGACGCATATCGAAAAAGTTCAAACTGCCGCAATACTCATTGACTTCTTTGGCTAAAAATTATAGATTATAAAATAGTGTATATATATATATAGATATATATTATATACACTTCAAATGATGATAGTATTTATGTAAATCTTATGATATGAAATAAAAATAAAAGAAATTAATCTTTTTAAACTTTTTTCTGAAGCTTACTGTAACATTTAGTTCAACATTTGACTATAGTTACCTCTTATGATATTTCTCCTGATTTAAGTAAATTATTTTCAAAATTAGAATATGATTTATTTGCATTTGCAGTGTGTAGCCTTCATCATCCTTATAGCAAAATTATATTGTCGAGTTGTAATAGATCTATTCGAGGCTCGAGTAATCCAATATATGCACAAATACTCAACTAAAACCTGAATAATAATAATAAATTAATTATAAATTCTGTTGTAGTTCTTAATTAATAATTATTATTAAATATAAATATAAAATAAATAGGAAAAAAACATTTTTGACACTTAAATTATATTAAATGTTAAGATTGAAAATAAATAGTAGGTACATGGTACGAGACAATCGCATCTCAATGATTCTCTTACCTTTTTCCCATTTTTATACACTCTTATGAACTATTCTTCCAAATTTCCGTTTCCTTGCTTGACTTTCAGTTTCCTGTATTTTCTATTATCACATCAATCATCTGCATTCCCAATCCTTTCTGTCTTTCTATTTTCAGTCCTTCGTGTAGGAGGCACTCGTTTTGCAGAATGGGCCCAAACTAGTTTCCTTTCTTCTTGAGGATCGAGCTCAGTAGAATTCTTCTTTGTCTAGAGTCGACCTTATAAATAAGTACACTATCTAGCCTATCGTGCCATGATCACCTCGTCAGAAACTTGAACAAATGAATGATGTGCCAGTTAATTGGGGGGCGTCCATTATAATACATGAGGTTTTTAGGTAAAAGGGGGGGGGGGTATATTAAGATTACATGTGTATTAATTTTTTGCCTGAATTAAAAAAAATCCAAACATTTTCAAAAAAAAAAAGAAAAAAGTTTACATTTTTGCTCATAGCTAAAAATACATGTAATGCTTTGTGGGGGCAGGGAGGGTAATTTGAATATCACTATGTATCACTAAGGTGAGGAGATGTGTACCAAAATACTTAAAAAATCGATCACGTGATTAATGGACGCCCCTTGAATGTTTATCTATCTCTGTCCAATCGTAGGGACTTGCAGATCTTGGTGCAACAGCTAATTTGGTACATATTAGCATGCGCTTCAACTTGCTTTAAAATGAACCTTTGCTGTATCACTATATTTGACCCATAATTTTAACCTGGTGCAGATAGCCTCGATTAGTTGTTGAGACTTGTGACCCAACCGATTTGCCAGTACAACTGTCTGCGAGAACTGAAAGAATAGCAAAGAATTGTGTTTATAGATTCATCAGTGTAATAATATATAAAAATATATGTTTAGAACACAATAAGTTGATAATTTGTTTCATATTTTGCTTAGGAATGCTTGTACAGCCAGATAACCTCACAAACAACACTAGAACTTGTGGAAGCCCATTTTTAGCAACAAATTGTTTTATTTTGAAATTTTTTACGTTATTCATTACATGAAAATATAAACTTTATTTAGAACTTACATACGTGCAGCAGCAAAATGCAAAAAAGCACTTTTGGCAAAAGTGTAATTTTGACAATTGTGCCATTTTGGGGTAGGTTTTTAAAAAAAATGTAAAAATTGTAATCACTTACCAAAATTTAATTTTATGACAATTTGTGACTACCAACTCATACAACAATAATAAAATAACATAACATTTCTTTTGTTACCCAAAATTGGCTCCTTAATCCATTAATCCCATGATTAATCCGTACACTGACCATGTAATTTTAATTTCTGGACAAATAGTGGTTACTGAGTAATGTTTTTAGTTATTATTAGCATATTTATCGTGGCAAAAATAGCTTTTCACCAATATAGTTTGATTTAAATTGAAATTTCAAGCCGGGGTTAGTTTTCTTTCAGGGGTATTTTTTACAACATCCGGGTCCGCATTCTTGGATCCGCGAGTATATAAGGAGGGCGCTAATTAACAAAGGGTTCATTAGCGGATTGGATCCGAACAGTAAACAGTGAAGTGAAAAGTGAAGTGAAAAGTAAAGTAAAAAGTGAAAATAAGTTGTGAAGTGAAGTGAAGAAAGTGTATTTTAAAGTGAATCAGTATCAACAAAGTGTGTTTCAGTGTGCAGCAGAAAAAGTAAAAAGTTTATTTTTCAAAAATAGTAAGTATAATGATTAAATAAAAAGAAATGCAGTTAACATTTTTAAGCTTAATGGCTTAAAGTTAATGATATAATTACTTATTAATATAATAATTATTTACTTAAGTAAATAATAATTTAATATACTCATTTTTTAATGATTTTTAAATTGAGTTCATCACCCATCAAATAAAATTGCAGCCCCATACAATGACCAAGGGAAAAAAACTACATTAACTGTTTGAGACTAATATATATATATTAACTAATGTATATTGACGAGGTATAATTGATAATTGACTAATGCTATATTTATTAGTCTCAAACAGTTATGTAGTTTTATTTCCTTGGTCATTGTTTGGGCTGGGCTGCAATTTATTTGATGGGTGATGAAACTTAATTATATATTAATATATATATATAATATATATATATATATATATATATATATATATATACTGTTCTTCAACCAGTCTACAAACAACACACTATCTAATTGTGATTTTTTAAATTAGTATTTTGTGAAACTATTGTGTAATTACAAGTTTAACGTTTATAATACATAGTGTAGGGCATTACCATATCTTGATACCATGGTTTATTAAAATTTTTCAATTTAACACTAAGATAATAATTGTAAGTACTAATTA